TAGGATTATGAGAGACACCATACTGGAGGGCTCTGGAAATTTCAACCACCTGGGGTTATTTAACGTGCACCAAAATCTTGAGCACAGGGTCACAGCATTTTTGCCTCCACCGAAAACGCAGTCGCCGCAGCCGGGATTCGATCCCACGACCTGCAGGTCAGCAGCCGATTACCTTAGCCTCTAGACCACCACGGCGAGGCAGCATAACCGATTGCCCGAAATTTCTCGCAAGTGTGTAGCAGGTACCATGATTCTCCAAAGAGTCAATAAGGATGACATAGCAAATGCCCTACCAATCCCCTAAAGTGGGTATGAGCCACAAGAGAAGGTGAACAAGAATGCCAACCTACTACGCAATAGTTATGATTTATGGCGTGTAGTGAATGGGTAACCTGCAACTGGGCAAGCTTGTAGCAGCTACCCAGAGTGTAAAAAAAGGGGGGGTTCTGAGCCGCTTTTCCAGCTTTCGCTTTGACAGTGCTGCACGTTCTGCAGAGGCCTGGCGGTTCTGTTATTCCCTGCAGAATTGTTTCGCAGACGGATGTGATGACATAATGGGGACAGCCTGTGTCACGTAACCATGCTAGCTTATTCATCAGGCCACGGTCAAATTCGTGCTCACACTACTTATTTATTGCTGCCTTAGTACACGTGGTGGCTATGCCCCTCTTAATAAATTTGCTCTGCGCGCTGTCATACGGCAACAAGTTTTTCTTTGACCTAGGCTGATAGGTCTAGCATACATGCTTACCTGATGGAAAAACATAGGTTGATGTCAAGAAACTGAACCCTGTTACTGATCGGCAATGCATGTGTGAACTTGAGCCTTCCCAATGACCTGATGAAAATGCCCGGTATGTTACCCGTTCGATCGACATGAACCTACTGGCTTCCTTCAAGCTGTTACTAATTACTTAATATGCACACATATGTCATTCCCGTTCACCTCGGCATATCACACTTACATTCAATATGCAGTCAAACCCTCATATAATAAGCTCACAAAACAACGGACATTATTTCAATATCACGTATAATTCGATACGAAACTTTTGAACAAGTTATTGTAATGTTGTCTTCACGACAATACTTTGTGATAATTCAAAGAAGCCAGCCTTAAGCAAAATGCGGGTGAGGTCATAGTTATCCCGCGGTTTGTAGGTTTATGCGGGGTTGCGTTATAACAATCGATTGAAATACAGTATCCATGCAAACAGCGCCCGGACAGTTTAATACACAGCTGTGCGTAGTCGTCGGACACCATAAGTCTCCAGTCTGCCGTAACCGAAATGTTAGTCTTGTTCAACATTGTTACTTCTTAAGGATCCTGTACACAGCAGCGACTAGAGACTTATATTCTCCCCCTTCAATTGCATTGGTTATTGCCAGCTTTGCACAGATCAGCAAGTTCTTGTGTTTCACAGCAGTCATCTCAACAAACGCAGCGAAATTTACAGAGAAGAGAACGATGAGCTCAGGTCGACGGGCAAGGCAACGGGTAATCATATATGAGAAAGATATGATAAGTGGTAATTTCTACTTATATAAGCGGTAATTTTTACATAGACACTCCGTGACATTAGACACCAATATGCTGAGACTATATAAGGTGCTTCGCACCTGTAAAGTCTTTTTTGAGAGAAAGTCAACATTTTCGGATGTTTCATGCTGCCCGACAGACATTCGCTGAGGCACCTATATTGCCTAGAATCCATAATGTCTAGAATTATAGGCTTATAGATTCTAGGCACTATAGCACCCTGCGGTACATGCGCACTCTACATGACATGAATCGAAGAGTAATGAGTGAACTTTTCAGCGATTGGCACGTCCTTGCAGAGAGAAATCGTGAAATTCCCGATTTTTTGTTTTCCGGCACATGTGGAGCTTTCCGATAAACTTCAGCTAGATACGCCTGTTAATTTTGCATTATCAATATATCGAACTGTGCTATATATTGGAGCATGCATGTGTGCACGTTATAAACGAGCAGAAAGAGCGAAACAAGGCGCTTGATTTCTGCGTGAAATTTCGTTAGTAAAAGTAAACGATAATGACGGCCAAGAAGTCATGATGATGAAAAAAAAAAGAAAAAACATTTCTGCGTGTTATACTCTGAAGAGCAGGGGACCAATGGCAGGCCGTTGTGAGAAGCACATCATCGCTTACTTTTTACTTTTGCATCCATTGTGAAGCTCGTTTATGTCTATATATATAGACGTATACATAGAAGGGTTCTCCATGAGTCTGTGTGAGGGAGGGTGGTGAGTTTCGCCTCAGTCACATTCCCCCTAACCCGCCAGTTTGTCGAGTCCGAAAGAAAACGAGCTTCACAATGGATGCAAAAGTAAAAAAGGAAGCGATGATGTGCTTCTCACGACGGCCTGCCACTGGTCCCCTGCTCTGCAGGGTATAACATGCAGAAGTGTGTTTTTTTTTTTCTTCACCGTGACTTCTTGGCCGCCGCTAAAAAAACATGCGTAGCCGTAAGCCCGAGGGCCTGCAAATCTTAAGCATTAAAAAGTTGGGCAGTGTGCACTAAGTTAATTACGCAAGACTCGGACACAGCAGAGTTGGTGGGCATGCTTCAGCTTCTCTTGCTAACCATCTATACAGAAAGCCTGGGCTGTATAGCGAGTGCCAGTTTATGATGATAATAGTTTTCTATCTGACACCCGGGTGTCAGGGGCCAGAATCGGTGTCTCCTGTACCCCCCCTCCCCCCTCTCAATTCGCACGCCTGTGCAGACATACTAATATTTGCTTCCAGAACCACATGCATGTGACATATCTGCCGCATTGGCTGGGAAAAAAGGATGAGAATAGGAGTTTTCTGAGGTATGCATGCCCTGCACGGGTGGCAGCAGTGGTATTCTATCATCCTCTCAGATTTCTTTCCGTTTTCCAAGTGCAGGCGAGCCCACTTTTACAGCCCTGTATGCTTAACCGCCCTGCCCTTATTTTATCAATTTAAACGAGCCTTGGCAAGACGCGCTATTGAAACAACATTAGCTCGGTGCAATATCCTGCACTGGCATGGGACACTACATCTATGCGCAGCGGTGTGTGGACGACGCTTCGCTTAAACTGCCAAATACGACTTGTAAAGCTCCAACGTCATAGCGAATCAAAAGACCTAGCAGTCTTCGGCATTTCTGAACAACAAAGGCACTGCTTCAGTACTTTGCAGCGCGTTCCACTACACACGCTGCACGAAGAACGAAACTGAAACTACGGAAAAAGATTCGTCCACAGCTCGCTAGTTGACGCCATATAATCCGAAGCCTGTATACTTTCCAACATTTCCATGGGGGTACAGCAATTGCAGGATCAGTTTCCTCTCTAGATATTATTATATGAAACTCTATGGGTGGCTGATTCGGCTAGTTGTTCACTCATACTGACACTGAACAGCGCGAGATACAAGCTGCTATTCTTGGCCTCTCCGCGCCAAGCCATTATCTAACCACCATAGTTCATACCACGTACCTAGCCAAACGTTTCCACTCGGCTATCTGATAAACCACTGGAACTCTTCACACCATCGTCGCTAACAGGATATTTATTATTTAAGTCTCCCGACTTGAAGACTACTATGACACTCTGTATTCCGGCCCTACAATGATGGCTCCTTTACAAATATTGATTGATTGATACGTGGCATTTAACGTCCTAAAACCACCACATGATTATGAGAAACGGACGCTGTAGTGGAGGGCTTCGGAAATTTTGACCACCTGGGGTTTTTTAACGTGCACCCAAATCTGAGCACACAGGCCTACAGCATTTCCGCCTCCATCAGAAATGCAGCCGCCGCAGCCGGAATTCGATCCCGCGACCTGCGGGTCAGCAGCCAAGTACCTTAGCCACTAGACCACAGCGGCGGGGCTTTACAAATATAAGCAATGCAGAATATGACTGGACAATGCTGATCTGTTCATTCCACAGGCAGTGCCCAGGGTCAAGAACAAAGGGAATCAGGGGGGATGACTGATATCTACAATACAAATAAGAACAGTGAAAGTGCCAAGACGTATATAATTGTCCAAAGACAAGATATATATATATATGCACCTTGAAGGGAATCTATATTATATAGCTCTGCACAAGTGAATGACGAATGCTATAAAGATGATCTTCAAAATATATACCCCTTATGTGAACAAACGGCCTCGCCTTTTGTGTTCCATATGTACGCAAATCGACAGTGAAGTGGGCTCACCCTAAAGTGCTATGAAGCATGTGTTAGTACTGTGCATCTTTGCAAAGCGTAGCCGTTAATTTAATATGCTGGTGCCTGGCTAATTACACCCTTTCTACAACAAACAAACATTTGTCTTCAACATTAATGTGAAAGCTTGTCTTATGACTTTGGTCTGCCTGAAACTGGTGATAGAGGACTTCTACCCATCTCACACTGATAAGTTCATTGGTGAATTGCCACACCCAGTGCTAAAAGTTGGGTCACACATCAAGAGGGCAACTCTGTTTAATATAAGGCATGTTGTGGATAACTCTAGCAAGGCACAGTTTATCAGTTGGGGTTGTTCATTAGATTAAAACAACTGAGAGCTGAGCTGCTTGGTAGTTGCTTATGTTAAAAAAGACAGCGTGCAAATGCGGAAAGAGAGAAGTTAAAATGTCGCAGATGCCTGTGTTTGTGGTGTCTTGACTGCTCTTTAGCATCTGCATTGGGACGCCTTGTCTTTTAGCATTGCCCATTAGCCATATGCACAATATACTTGCCAAATACTCATTACGTTTGTACCACAAAAATGCAAATATGTCAACAGTCTCTAACTTTGGCAATAGTCTACTGTCTGCATAATTCAAAGGAAATTTTAAAATTTTTCGGAAGAGCCAGTTGCTTTCACAATTCTAGATCAGCTATAGACATACATTAGACTAAATTGTGTGCTTAAATACTTACTCAATGTACATATTGCTACGGACATTTACTTTTACCTTACAGCTTATGAAACAGAGAAAGGGAAAGCAAAGTAAATGTAAAAACACACTTATATCAATTTATTCACTCATTCAATGAAAAGCACGCACACACACATACACTCACACACTGCAGATCAAACAGTGCCGTCTTTAGCCTTCACTTTCTTCAGGAATGCCATGCCGTGGCTACGCGTGTGGCTTTTGAGTTCTCGTTCAGTGTCGAATGTTGCCAAACACACGGAGCAGCGAAGCCCACTGACAGCAGCACCGTTGGGGTCTGCTTCCGCGAGCCTGTCGGCGGCCTTCTTCTCCTCCACCCCGTGCACTCCTCGAAGGTGCTTCCTCAACGAGGGCTCCACCACATAACACAGACCACACTCGTGGCACTGGAATGTTTCTTGATTTGGCGGCCGGTGCACTTTGATGTGCTCGCGGAAAGCGGACAAGTCACTGCTTTGGAAGTCGCACTTCGCACACGCCTTGGTGTTGTTTGGCGGCTTCTCTTCCTGCTCGACAGTCGTCTGTCAATTGAAATGAAAGGGCACACTGTAAGATTTCATATTGAATGCTGAAACAAGACAAAGTCGTTGTGCGAAGATAGATACTACAACTGATTAACTTGAAGTAAACATCATAAGGCGTGAAGCATCAGTCCACTGCTAGCATGTTGAAAAGGAAATCAGTCTAATAAAGACACGTCGCCATGTTGAAATGAAGAGGGTTTTGCAAGCATCACAGAAATGGTACAGAAAATAGTCTTTTGACGTGGACATATAGTTTTGACCTGGACATATAGTCAGATACAACTTGAGAATTCTGTGGTATTTCCTCCTCAAAGACGAATGTATACGAGCCTGCCCAATCGGTGCAGACTCTAGACTGACGTCATCAGCCAGCGGCTGATAAATACTTCGGAGAACATTTCAGAGTGCGTGAGCGGGACTATTTCTTTGGTCGCAGAGGTGATTGGCTGGTGTGCTTTGATTGTCTGAGTAGGGCCTCCCCGGAATTTTTAAGCTGTATCAGACAATAGACTCCAAAGAAGTTCTGACTAACCACTGTTGAAAATACTGCTCACAGCAAAGCATTTCTTCTAAGAGAACCAACTGGTTCAGTACAGTTTAAGATTGCACTCTACGTTTAAATGATTGTTCTGGACTCGAGCTTCCCCTGTCCACGCACTGCCCGTCACAAGTATGTGACATTGGCCTATCAATGCTAGTGTTGCAGTCAAACTTGCTTACGAAAATTCAAAACATTTATCACAATGATAACACATATTACTATTAATCGTATCAGTCTTGATGACTAGATGTGCCATTCTAACAACGGTTCATTCTACTTCTTATTCTTTTCACCGTTCCTAACGAGATTGTTCAGTGCAACTCCGGTGTTATCAGCCGCAGACAACAAATTGAAAATATTACAATGCGTTCAAAATTGAACCGCTACAAAATAAGGTGCATAGTCTAAGTTACAAAAATAAGAGACGTGTATCAAGTATTGCACCGACAGCACAATCCTAAGAGACAAAGGTGCAGTGGCCTGTGTGCCACATCCCAACCATGATCTAAAAAAACGAAAACATGCAAAGGACTGATACAGAATATGGCTTCACAGCAATAACATGGGCAAGCTGTGCTGTGTCAGGCGTGAACAGAAAAACTCGGCAAGGGAGGAAGGTGCAGTAATCATTAGTTATATGTCTGGATAAGATTTTATTGGTTCTTGAACTTTTTGCAAGAGATGCATGCATACCAGTAGTATGCAGACAAATTTCTAATCAAAATGAATGCCTGTCTACACTAAAAGCTAAAACGATGAATTTGTAAATGTTTACCTTGAGAGTACGACTTACTTCTATACAGAGGAGCAAAAAATATTTAGTACACCTTCGCAAAGAGTTTTTAATCATATAAAAAAACTGTAGCGATATATAACCTAGGAAGAGCTGAGCGACTCTTAAGCTTCGCCTTTAAGAGATGAACACAAAAGCAATATCTGCACTCGTGTCACATTCCCATTTGCTAGCTTGCCTTCATTTCTCGGTGGAGACGTGTACACTCTGGCCCAAGAAAAGCCAAAGCGAAAATGCTCTATGGCTCCTTTATTTATCTGTTGAATTTTCGTTGATGGCTAACACTGCTTCATAGCTCACAACTAAATGTTGCCGCCAACACTGAAGTTTGTACGAAAATACCTCTTTAATGCTATCGCACTAGAAGTCCAGGCCCCCAGCCATTGCTGTCTACCCTGAGAAAATTCGCATACATGCCCCCATGCAATTGCATTTCCTCATATATGTGACGTCAACCAACTCTCGCATGTTCTGTGCAGGTGGTTTTTTCATGAGTCACAAGTTCATGTTGCTGGCTTTCGGTTAGCAACTTGAATTTCCTGAGGAAATTCCAACAAAGGTTCAGACATATGTGCAGAGCCAAACTTAGTATTTTAAGGAAGCTCTGCAACACTTTTCCAAGTTATAATGGAATAGTCTCAATACTATTATCGCAAGAGGCTTCACGAATTGGATGCCTCAAAAATTTATAGAATTCATCAAGTACGAGCGAAGTTACAGGTACACTTGTCGCATGTTTCTAGCGCTTTCTCTCCCCTTTTGTGCAAGCGAGGGGGCTGAAAGTTACACAGCGAGGGGGATGGCAAGAGGGTAAGAAGATGCATCCTTTCATCAGTGCGGGTCATGACCTTCAGCACTTTCTTTTCGTGTTTTTCTCCAAATGCGCAGCTTAATTCCAGGGTGACTGCGAACGTGCAGGCCGGCACACGATGGCATCTCATGGTAGCCATGCTAACTACGCAGCTTCCAACACTGAAATAAACCGACTGCCATGAACGTGGGCATATGCTGCAGAAATTTGGGTATATGACATCATTTCTAGAGAAACAATGGAGCGATTTCTAGCCGACTCAGCAAACGAATTGTAAATTCTAGTCCATGTGCTGCGCTATAATATTTGGCTCATGTGTTCATGGGAAATTCCACTACTGATCAGCAACATTTCCTGACCATGCTCAAAAAGTGTTGCAGGGCTCCTTCAAGACAGGAATTCAAACTTTTAATTTTTAATATGCACAGTATTTACATTAGTAATAAAAAACTATGCATAACTAGAATAAAAAGCACAGAGCACCACTCTTTTGCAAAGATGAATGGCAAGAAGCACAGGCTGGAGCTTGCATTCTTTCTTAGGTTATAACCAACTATACAATATAATCTTTGCACAAGAGATTTACGTGAACTAGCTTGACAAGACTGATATTACAGAGCTATTTAATAAAACTGCTACAATACCGTCCTCTATTTGTCTTACCTGCTCGCTATCATCGGTAGACTGCTGATTAGCTTTCTTAGGAGTATCTTGCTTGTTTTTCTTTGCTTGGTCAGAGGTAGCACTTGGGGCAGGTGATGGCTTCCCTGTAATACTCCTTTTCTTCGGCTTTTGCGATAATGGTGCAGAAGTGTCCATTGCCTTGTCTTTAGAGCTGGCCATTTCATCATCATCCAGGTTGATGATTTCAGTGGGCGCTTTTGCCTGCAAAGGCAAAAGTAAAAACAATGTAAAAAACAATGGGTAAAAAAGGGGCAAAAGGGGCAATGGGGCAAAAGTAAAAAACAATGGGTAGGGGTGGCAGCGGGTTTCAGTTTTCTGGAGCAGCTTAGAGAGCAGGAATAATGCTGTTTTGGAACAGCAATGGAGTGGTAAAAGGGGAGTTTTGGAGCAGCTTTGCAAAGATCATTGCGAATTATACTTTTTTTTACTTATTTCAGTGTTTTCCAGCAATTTTTATTAAACATTAAAACAATGACCCGACAAGGTTTCCCAGAAATTAATAAACCAATTCCTTTCGTAGACAATGCAATATTTTATCAAATATAATTTTCATAAAATATTTTGTACATGTACTGTATGTTGAAGCAGAAATAGCTGGCCACTACTGAAATGACATTGATGAGACTAATTAACAAAATCTCTGTACTAGAGTGCACTGGTTAATCTTGGATAGTTGCAGTGCATGGTAATTTATCACAAACTAATTTTTAGAAATCACCTAAGTTGCATGCAATTAGAGATATATATAATCAAATTCTAAGGGTTGAATCAAAACTGATAGTGGCCAGTAAACATGCCCCTTCTATTGCATCGAATGGAAATGATTTTCGTTAAATACTCACAGTGACTAAACAACTGCTCACATGCGCAAGTGAGAAGACGAGAAAATGGACATGCTCGGTGAGGTTTTTTTCATCACCATCATGCTTGAAATGAAGTTCAAACTGATGACATCACCCCCGCATGAGTAAAAACATGCAATTGCTGGGAACGAACACGGCTGACGTTGAGGTGACATAGGCTGGCCATCTTCATCGCATGAAAGGTGTAGGCGACACCTCCCCATGTGCGAGGTCTGCAGTCGATGGCTCCTCCTCAAGCAACATCCTGGCCATCTTTTGTCAGGAAAAGAAGTGTTGAGAGGGTGAAGAGAAAGGCTCCAGTAGTAACTTTGACCATACGGGCATGGTCACTATCTCGGCAGACATCAGCTAATGGCCTGCTTACTTTGCAGTGAGGTGACAGACAACCGTTTTGCTCCTTATGTCTTGAAGAGTTGGTGAGATCAGATCCAACAGAATTATCAGCTAGCCCTTCGCACAACACTTCGGGTCATTGCAATCGCATTCATTGCTTCGCCCTTGCAGTGAAACTATGATGATATCGCACCGTCACCAAGTCACAAGGCACGTCAGGGGACGATGATGGGAGCTCACTTGGCCACCATGTCGCAAATGACAGACAATGGCGCATGAATGCATTATGGACCACCTGGAAGAACTTTCAATGCAGTAATGCGTTTTGGAGCAGAATGACTCAGCAGGATCAAGCTGATGCAGCATGGTCCGAAGGACGCTGCACTTCCACCCCAAACTGACACAAGACCAAGCCACTCTTTGAAAACGTAGGAAGCTCTTTATGTCTTGACAGCCCCATATTGGTGCAAAATGATGAATGACACATTCCTTCATCACTTGATACCTTAAAGAGAAATGGGTAAGCTTGTTACGATACACTGATTACGGTTTTTGATGTCACCTATCCTAACCTCATACATAGTCATATTCTCTCCATGCATCTCTTTCATCACAGATATTAGGCCAGAATAACCGAGCCGAGCTAGTTGTTCAGTATTTTGAAAAGAATGGGCATGCCAACACGAACACGTGAAAGAAGTTGCTACTCCTCAAATGCAGATCGCTCTATCCGGCCTGGTTACTCCACTCCAGAGTTTGTGTCGTCTTGACCTCTTTCCTGTGTTTGTGTGTTTGAATGGCCGATCTTTTAGAATAAATATCAGGCCATGTCACACCCCACGAAATTTTGAAAAGATGAAATATTCATCGACACGAAGTGTCATGTAAAGGCTGCAACTGCAAAGCAGTTGCAGAAGTTGTAGCTTTGAAGAAGACAATTTCACTTGTTGAAACAGCTTCAGAGATGCACTGTATTCACGAATATTTTTTCTCTCCAAGCTTATATCTCCTAACCTCCTTCTTCTTCTTTAAAAAAATTTCCTGTCACATTTTGCAATACTTATGGTACCATACATGTTTCTGCTTACGAGTTCTTAATCATAAAAACGGCCATGTAAATTTATTGTGGTGGTCAGCCTCAACTGAAACTTGCATGTAATGGTACAACCTCCCATATAAAAGACGTGTTGTATTAAGCCATCCACAATTTCGCCACTTATCCCATTTCTTTTAAACCATTGAGGGTAGAATTTTCACACCAAATGGAACCCGCCAGGGTCTACTTTTAAAGACTATAGTCTTTCTTAGGAACCTTCAACGCAAAAATTTTGATCTGTCTGTCTGTACATTTGTCGGTTTGTACACCCTTAAGGGGGGACGTGGCAAGTAAAACTAATTTTTTTATTAATGTACTGTTTGTGATGAAATTTGGTGTGTGTATGTGGATGATTGTGAGGATTCCAAATATGAAAACCGTTTTCAAATACCTCTTGTACTTTTTGAGTTACAAGCATAATTATACTAATTAATGCTCTTCACACTTACAGAGATAATTATTGCTAAATGAAATTATTTTTTCATATTATTATGTTCCCAAAGCATCAACTTGTGCAAAGAAGCTATTAGTTGATTTTTCTAGTTCTTGTAACCATAAATAAAATTTCCAAAACATAGATGTTGTTTTGCGCACACATCGCAGTAATTATAAAATGTGTTCTAAAAATTTTAAATGATGAGTAAGAAGAGAGATAAAGCTTTATTGCACTGCTAAAGGCCTCCTGAGCCTAGTGCAAAAAACGGAACGACTCTATCAGTCTTTGTTAGAAAATGACTATTGTTCTAGCGAAGGCACATAGGCGAAAATCAAGAGTTGAGAAAACTGACTTTGAAAGTTCACTCTTGTTTGGAAGTTCACAACATGCCTAAAACACTCAGAATCCTCCTGGGCAGTAATCCTGAGATGCTGTGGCCTTGGCCTCTGTAGAGCGCAACCCAGTTTTGCGCTTCTTTGTCGTGGAACAATGCGCCTTTTGAGCCCTCTTCACCCTTTTGGCATCCTTTTCGGCTGCTCGCCGCAAAGAGCAGTCTCCTGGATTGAAGCCCAGTTGAGCAGTGATCTCTTGCAGCGCACTCTTGCAGCCACCATTGAAACGGCAGACTGCATCTGCAACTGCACTTTCCACACTTCGAAGGGAGGCGAACTGGCTCTTGGACTGGAGTGACCAAATGAGGCTGTTCATACTCTCCACAGCGTTCTGGGTTTTTCCCTGCGCACACCTTTCAAGGAGCTCTTTGTTCGAGAGGCGCTTGTAGATTGGCAGCAGTGCCACTCGCACGTGAGGGGGCAGTTTATGTTTGTGAGGCGGCAGCGGCTCTCCCTTGGCCAATGCCTGATTGTGCGGGCACCAGGAGTCAGTCCCACTTGGGCACAGGTCGTGGTGTGGATCCTGGTCTGTGGATGTTACATGGTAATAAGTGGCCATGATGGCCCTCTCCATGCCAGGAACATCGTTGGGGTGGCTCTTAATGGCCCAGCCATAATAATTCGTCAACTTCTTTATAAGGCCCTGCGTCAGCCGGCCTTTGCCACCCATGCTCAGTCCTCGGCCTTTGGATTTGTGCTCATCAAGAAGGTTGCGCAAGGAAGTGCCCATTCTTTTTTTCACATGGTTCACACACTCCTGTTTCTTAATCAACATGTAGCCATACACCTTGTCTTGCGTGAGGGCAAGGTACGTACGGCTGTCACCGTCGCAGAGCACATTGATGTATCGAAGCTTGTACTTGGTAAACGATCTTTCAAACATGATCCTCGCTGCTTCTACTTCCATTTGGCCTGCATTAGCATCGGTGTTCTTTTGGCACTGTGGCTTGTGTTTCTCAAGCCACTCCTCATAGTTGTCGTCACCAGGCTTGGGGCCAACAGCACAGCCTTGGCAGTAGTTGGACAGGACACAGTGGTCCAAGACCAAGCCTGTGTATAGCTCGATTACATAGCCCACGCCAATATGACTTCTGTGCCCCCTCGTCATCCACGTGCCGTCGTAAATGACGTCAATGTTGCCTGGCACTCCTCCTAGGTCCTTGTAAATGTCATGCACCTTCTGTGCACTTTCTGCTTCAATGCGGGTGGCAGCTGATGTGGTGGCAGGGTGGCTGTACCTCCTTTGCAGTCTCTGGTAGGACTTGTGGTGCAATGCTCGATGCGAAATGTCCATCGCAGAAAAAATGTCATTTATGGCAGATTGTTTTCTGCCAACTGACTGCACAGCCCTCAAAGCACGCACGTTTACCTCAAAGGGGTTCGTTTTTTGTTGCCCGGAGCACCTCGGGGACGACCACGCACTGTTCACTATGCCACAATTGTCACAAAAAAGTTCAATCCTCGCCGCGAGTCCAAGGCAGTGCGTAGTCTCGAGGCGTATCGACCCTTCGTCGCACTTGTTGCACTTTACTGACGAAAGCAGACCGTTCAGCATCTTCTTATTTACAATGAAGAATGTGGAGTCCTTACCGCCGTCATTTTCGTCGCAGCCTTCGTTCAGAAGCTCGAGCTTCCGCTTTGAAGCGGACTTCGATGGCATCCAAAACATCCCGCCTTGTCTGCGCCCGCTGCGCGATTTCTTCACTGCTCGGAATCTGGCCCGAAACTCGCGATAGAATGTTCGACGCGCGCACGCCCGGAGTTGCAACGGCTGCCGACGCGGTGCCACCGCAATCGGGTTCGCGAGAGCGTCCATCACGGTCGACGGCATCCGGCGGTCTGACATACGACGATGTGGCACCTTCCACACTCTCGGCCTCACAACAATCAGCGAAGGGTCTGAGTAGAGGCTCCGTGACGCTTGAAGAGCATGCTCCGTCCAGAACTGCGACTGGGACGGCAGCCGCAGTCGTCTGCCCTTTGTTCCAAGCTTTCCGACGCTTGCCGTACTTGTGGACGCTCCGGAACTTTTTTTGCGACAACATAGCACCGCAGTATGAGCAAGCACTCAGAAGAGACCA